GCTTGAATGCCTCTGTCCCAACCCCGAACGAGGCAGCCCCCAAAGCTGCACGAGTCTCATTACCAACTAAACACTGCTCTGACGCTGAAACCCTCAGACGTTTGGGAGCCGGTAGCAGGATGGGGGGGGGGGGTGCAAGATGAACAATAGGGAAAGGACCAGGGAGTGCGGACTGAACCAAAGCCGAACCAACTAAAGCTCCCAGGTCCAGGTCCCTGTAACCAAACCGGGGTAGCCGCGGGGTATCCAGGTGGGAAATGATAACATTATCCTAACAGTAATGTCATCAGAATAATACTGGAGAACAAGACTTGCAAGACTCCGGGTCAAATGTGTCGTTGACCCAACAGGTAGCATGACGGAGACAAAAGAGGTGATTGTCAACCCCTGAGCCAAGGCACACAGCAACCATCGATCCCGCACAAGGCGGGCTGGAACTCGGAAGACACATCCATTGGTCCACTGAGCCCAGACAGGGTATTCCAGGGCCCTTAGGCTGACTGCAACAGGAAGCCTGGGCAAGGCGTTGCTAAACCAGTTAAAACCCAAAGCTAACAAAGGGGAAAGTAAAATATTGAAACCTGTGCGACATGTACAATCACGGGAGCCTAGCAGAGGGCCACCAAATAATTAAACGTGGAACTATCTCGACAGCAGGCAGACCCCCCATCAAGCAAGAAAAGCAAAAACAAAAGAAAAACCATGCTATGGAATGTGGAATAGGAGAACATAGACACCACACAACCATTAAATTATGTAATATCCTAGATGCAATTACCTAAGTGAAGTTACAGGATGAGAGCTATGCTCGTGGTGACCTATCTTCCCAGCACTCTTTGTCATATAACGTTTTGAAATTACTGATGGTTTTGGCCTCCACCACCTTCTCACCTAACTTGTTCCACCAATATACAACTCTGTTTGTGAAAAAGAATTTATTTATACAGTGGCCCCCCTCCATTATCCATTTAAGAATATAATCCTAGCCCAGAGACGGTTCGTAAGCCGAAAATTCGAAACCCGAAACTAATTTTCCTATAAGAAATAACGTAAATTGAATTACTCCGCTCTACACTCCCAAAAATATTACCTAAAAAATACATTTTATACAGAAAACAACTCATAACTAGGTACCTTACCTTTATGGAGGTCTCTTGGAAGATTCCTTCACCGTATTAAAGACGGTGAAAGGGGGGGGGGGGGAAAGGAGTTGAGGAGGAGAGTTGTTAGGGTTTGGAAAGGGAGTCCCTTTCCAATATAACATCAGGCAGTGATGACTTTTATGGGGTACTCTCTCTCCTATGTTTTGTCTGACTGCATACCACAATAACCTGGTTGTGGTTCACTGCTTGTTATTCTCACTAAAACCTTTCCATAGAGACTTAGTTTTTTCCTACGTTGTAACATTTGTGTGTAGTGAGGCATCACAGTGTCATTAAAAAGGGTAAGTCCACGGCATGCTACAGCTTTCTCTGGGTGAGTCGTTTCAACAAAAGTTTGCATGCTCCTTGTGAAAGGCTAGAGTTCTTCCGTAGTCAGTTGTTTTCTGTGTTTCTCCACCAACTCATAACACACAACACTCACAAACTGTGAATGCCACTTCTTTTTCTAAATTTCTCAAACCATCCCCTGCTCGCCTTATACTCTTTCGTATCTGCATCACCTGTTCCAGGGGTTTTCTTTTAAAGGCCTTCATGCAATTGATTTGCTCTTTTTACAAATGATGGCTTTTCAAAAACTATCATCTGGTAACTCCTTGTTGTGTATCCAAATTAATAACAACTTTTCTTCATCCTCAAGTGCTTGTGTTCTTTGTTTCGTGATTGTTGATATGCCATTTGCCACTTTAGCACTCATAATGTCCTTTTTATTACCAAATACATTGCAAATGGTTGACATAGATATGTTGTACTGCCTAGCTATTTCAACCACTCGTGTACCATTTTCATGTTTACAAATAATCTCTTGATTTTGCTCAATGGTCGTCCTCACATGTGTTTTCTTAGGCTGAACCTTAATACTGACTTTCCTGGGACCAAAGGCATGATATATAATAATTACTTATAAGTTCAAAACCCCAAAAAGCCGAAAATCAATTAATTCTCTACAAAGAATTCAAGGGCGATTGTTACTAAGTGTGAGGCATTGGTAAACTGAAGAGCGGGCAACAGTGCAACCAGGAAATATGCGCTAGGTTGCCCATATGTGAATCAACAAACTACGTCACCATAGGCAAAGCTTGTAGCCCGATTAAAATTTCACGAAGCAACTGGGCTCGTAACCCAAAAAGTTCATAAATAGAAGCATTCTTAAGCAGAGGTGTCACTGCGTATCTTTGGCACCATTGTTTAGTTAGTTTAAATCTCTGACCTCTTGTCTTGAAGTTCCAGGTATCAAGAATTCTTCCCTATCAATTTTATAGATTCTCCTTACTATTTTGTACATAGTGATCATATCTCTTCTTTTTCTTCTAGCTTCTAGTTCGGTATATTTGCTGCCTCTAACCTTTCCTCGTAGCTCTTGTCCTTCAGTTCTGGGAGCCATTTAGTTGCATATCTTTGCACCTTGTATTTAAAAGCAGATCTGAAGTTAGAAAGTGTAGCATAGGATCCTCACACAATGTTCTTTATGTGGTTCTCAGGTGATAGTTTTCTATCAAGAACCACCCCTAGATCTCTTTCATTATCCAAATACTTTAAAGATTTCTCACATTTTATAGAGGTGTCTAGAGAAGAAGTGAAAAAAATGCTAAAGGAGCTATGTAAAATCCAGTGTTGAATAATGAAACGCTATTTTCTTGGTGACACCCCGAGGCTCCTAGGAGCTATCCGGGATGATATGAATGTATTAAATTCTGGCATCAGTCAAAGCGAATGGAATTCTTAGGCCTACCAGAGACCAAAAGCCAGAACCTGGCCTTCTCAGAGAGGCACAAGGAGCAATGGCCTATAGAATCACGGTGGTTGGAAGCATTCTATGTCCACCATCGACCGGGTCAGGCACCCAGAAAATTAGGCACCCCAAAACATACCCTATCTGGTTAAAATAATGCTACTGAAAGTCAAACTCTTGGACGCAGCAGACAGCTGCTGTCTGTGCAGCACCCCCTTCCCGGGAGGGGAAGGGGAGAGCCCCAGATCCCGACTTCGGCTATCCACACCTTCAGCTCTGAGGTTAGAGGTCAAAACACGCGAAAACCGCAGATCGGAGGGAGGGTGGATTGCCAGGGAGCCTCCAGGTCTCACCCAGAAAATGGCATTTCATTATATTCAATACAGGTTTTATTGGGGGGAGCCCCTCTGGCTCCCCAGAGAGATTTAACCAAAGAGAAAACAAGAGGGATTTACCCGGGAAGCAGTCGCCACTCACTCTTCAACTCGAAGTCGAGACAACTGGCTGCAACCGCCGACCCAATGCAACACATAAAAACCGCAGGTGGGACTAGGGCCAATAATACTGACTAGGTAGCGAGCGGCCAGGACGCTGTTCTACCTCCAAAAACTATGTACCCATTGTCAGCCGAAGACATGTTACCAAAGACGGCAGTCAATGCAGCAAACTCACGAACGCCGTGGGCACGAGGATAGACCGCAGGCTGGCTGGACCAAATAAAAATGCGGACGACCTGAGAGACCCAAACTCTGGAGGAGGGACGAGGGAAAACTGGGTCAACCCAAAGCGCGTCCCCGGCCACCAAGGCCGTGGCGCGCAGGTAACAGCAAAGAGCCTCAACTGGACACAACATATGTTGCACCCACGGCAGAACCAGCCATGCATCAACATCCCAATGACCCCTCCAGTGAACACCAGCCTCATTCTTTGCCAGAAAAGAAGATGGCTGTAAACGAACAAAGCTACCACCAGGACCAAAAGAGCAGACACCTCTGCACTGGAGGAGAGCGTGAAGTTACCCATCCTGACCACTAGAAGCCAATACAACAGGAAAGTAGCCTTCGCAAAACAATCCTGAACCGAAGGGGCCCCAACAAACCGAGGGGAATAGAGAAAAGAGAATGCCTGGTCCAATGACCAGGATGGCTCAGGTGGCGCATGAGCAGATCGAAGGTAAAACGACGCACGAGACAGCTTGCGGAATGGAGCAAAAGTAACATCCACCCCAAAAGGAAGCATAAGCGGCTCCGCCAGGGCCGCATGTTACGAGGCGTCAGTATTCGGCATAACATGACGGTCCTGAAACAACCACGAAAGGGAGGATAAGACAACCAGATCCGAAACTGAAGAAAACCTACGAAGAGACAAGAAATAACTAAAGGACCACCAGGAAACTTCATACTGCCGCCGAGATAAAGCACGCAAGAGGAACACCATCAATGAAGCCACCTGCTCACATACAAATGGTTATAAACTCACGTCAAAAAGATTAGACGCAAAGACTTGAGGAGCTCACATCAGCCACGTAATAGACTGGCACGATCTGCTGAAAGAGTATGAGCTGCGGGAAGATTCCCTGGTTTCGGACACCAAGCAAGCAGCGCCTGAAACCAAGGCTGGGCCAGCCACTAAGGGACCAAAAAGACTACTCTCTGAAAATTGTATATATACAATTTGTGCTGTTAAAGGGTCAAGGTGCTATGTGCAGTTCAGCAGGTTAATACACTCGCCATCACTGGGTAATGATAACATAATACACTCGCTATCACAGGTTATTGACAAAATCATGATTAATACACTTGCTGTCACTGGTTAGTAACAACATCATGATTAATACACTCACCATCACTGGGTAATGACAACATAATACACTCGCCATCACAGGTTAGTGACAAAATCATGATTAATACATTTGCTGTCTCTGGTTAGTGACAACATCATGATTAATACACTCGTCATCACTGGGTAATGACAACATAATGATTAATATACTCACCATCGCTAGTTAATAACATCATGATTAATACACTCACTTCACTGGTTAATAACATCAACATGATACACACACACACACACTGGTAGTACAGTAGGAATAAAATTGTCCTTACCATCATTAATGGGCAGAAGTTGTGTTTGCTATCGTCCTTGGTAGCTGAGCAGAGACTAGAAGCAGTATTACCTATTGGGGGAAAATAAAACAAATTTAAGATTTGTATGACTAATTTTTCCCCATCAAAACATAGTAAATGTTAAGAAAATTAAATAAGAATTTTTAGATATTGTACTTTGAGCAGCAGTAGGGAGTGTGAGCAAGTTTAAGAAGAGCGGGTAGGAGTAGGGAGGGTGGGCAGGAGTAAGGAGGGTGGGCAGGAGTAAGGAGGGTGGAGGGTGGGCAGGAGTAAGGAGGGTGGGCAGGAGTAAGGAGGGTGGGCAGGAGTAAGGAGGGTGGAGGGTGGGCAGGAGTAAGGAGGATGGGCAGGAGTAAGGAGGGTGGGCAGGAGTAAGGAGGGTGGGCAGGAGTAAGGAGGGTGGGCAGGCGTGAGGAGCGTGGACAGGAATAAGGAGGGTGGGCAGGAGTAAGGAGGGAGGGCAGGAGTAAGGAGGATGGGCAGGAGTAAGGAGGGGGGCAGGAGTAAAGAGGGTGGGCAGGAGTAAGGAGGGTGGGTAGGAGTAAGGAGGGTGGGCAGGAGTAAGGAGGGTGGGCAGGAGTAAGGAGGGTGGGTAGGAGTAAGGAGGGTGGGCAGGAGTAACGAGGGTGGGCAGGAGTAAGGAGGGTGGGGCAGGAGTAAGGAGGGTGGGCAGGAGTAAGGAGGGTGGGCAGGAGTAAGGAGGGTGGGCAGGAGTAAGGAGGGTGGAGGGTGGGCAGGAGTAAGGAGGGTGGGCAGGATTAAGGAGGGTTGAGGGTGGGCAGGAGTAAGGAGAGTGGGCAGGAGTAACGAGGGTGGGCAGGAGTAAGGAGGGTGGGGCAGGAGTAAGGAGGGTGGGCAGGAGTAAGGAGGGTGGGCAGGAGTAAGGAGGGTGGAGGGTGGGCAGGAGTAAGGAGGGTGGGCAGGAGTAAGGAGGGTGGGCAGGAGTAAGGAGGGTGGAGGGTGGGCAGGAGTAAGGAGGGTGGGCAGGAGTAAGGAGGGTGGGGCAGCAGTAAGGAGGGTGGGCAGGAGTAAGGAGGGTGGGGCAGGAGTAAGGAGGGTGGGCAGGAGTAAGGAGGGTGGGGCAGGAGTAAGGAGGGTGGTCAGGAGTAAGGAGGGTGGGCAGGAGTAATAGGGTGGGCAGGAGTAAGGAGGGTGGGCAGGAGTAAGGAGGGTGGGCAGGAGTAAGGAGGTGTGGGCAGGAGTAAGGAGGTGTGGGCAGGAGTAAGGAGGGTGGGCAGGAGTAAGGAGGGTGGGCAGGAGTAACGAGGGTGGGCAGGAGTAAGGAGGGTGGGGCAGGAGTAAGGAGGGTGGGCAGGAGTAAGGAGGGTGGGCAGGAGTAAGGAGGGTAAGGAAGGCAAGGAGGGACCCTGTCTAGCAGAGAGGGATGGAAGGAGGGAGGCAAGCAGGGAGGCTGGTAGGGGGGAGAGGTGGGTAGGCAAGCAGGGAGGCTGGAGTGGGTGTAATAGGAGCGGGGGTGATGGGTGTCCACCCACCTGCAAACCTGCTCCTCCACCCATCTGCCAACCATCAAACCCTTCTTCCTGCCATCCGTTCATCCAGCCCACTTTCCTGCCAGCCATCCAGCCCACCCGCTCACCTACCTGTCTGCCCGCCCACTTGCCCTGCCCACCTTCCTGCCAGGCAGCTACCCACCCAGCTCACCACCCACCCAGCACCACACACTAATTATAGTGTGAGTGGAAATTCAAATCACGTTGGCTGTGATACATAAAGATTGTGAATGTTAATATTTTTCTTCCCTGGTAAAACTCGGCTAATACGGATGTCGGGCTTAACTGGATAGGGGTCCTTCCCATATAGTCTGGATAATCGAGTTCATACAGTATATATAATATATTATCCAGGATATATGACCTCTATCAAGCATATTCAGGTCATTTTTACATATTATTTAGCACTAATAACTAACCTTGCTTACAACTATTCTAATACTTCATTTCAAGTCCAAAACAAGTCATACATAGACTTATATTATTAAGCCTCTCGTCTGGAAATACTTTATATAAATCAGCCAAGCCTACTCAGGCCACACTCACTGAACGAAAGGTTTCTGATCTTTCCATATGAAAACACTCATAATAATGCCAGATTATTTTAACCATTGAGAACCCACGTAATAGTGTGCAAGAGGCAGAGGTGTAATTAACGGAGGGAAGCGCGATCACAAGTTAGGTATCCAGTGTCAGTTATTTCTTATAAGACATTCAGGTATTCATAATTAAACATCTGATGAGAAAATATATAGGATTCTGTAATGAGAAAATGTGGCTAACTCTACAGTAGACGGAAAAACACCACAATTTACATATTGAAATCACAAATTTAAATAGAATAAACCTAACAAATAAAGTATAGAGAAGACTCTTGTAATGTGATTCACTGACCACTTGGAAATTCAAATGCATTTTACCTACAAATAATACGCTAACATACGTTAGCTTGAATTTTCCTGGAGTGACTCTCATACATTCTCTCTCTCTCCATATAATTTCAAACATTTCCTTCATATCGGAAAGTTGGATATACCAAATCTTTTAAATGTTAAACATCGACAAATTTAACATTTAAAAATGTAATTTACTGGTGTAAATGTGTATTTATGAGTGTATAAACATCTATTTAAATGTATAATAAAACAAACATGAAAGACAAAAGCATATAAAGAATAAACTAGAAAACATAATGTAGCAACTCTATGATTAATGAAAATGTTTGAAACATTTTATGTCATCATTCATTCATTCATAATTTACATCATTTACACAACATAATTTACATAATAGTAGGCATCCATCAGTCTCAGGAGACTATTGAGTTGTGCTCTGCTTGTCGGTCTGGAGTGGCCTCTCCAGGGCACAAAGCCAGGGTAGGTTGATATGCTGGAGAAACTGTTATCCAAGCAGCAGGCGCCGAAAGTCTCCAATGGAAAGGCAAACGCCAATACGATTGGTTCCAGCGCCGTCGCATGAACTGTCAGAACGAGAGACTCCAACTCCGGAGTTAACCTCGAGGTTGGTAAAAGAGGGCACAGGGACTCCAGACCCGGAGACCGCCGGGGTCGGAGAAGAACCAGCCCAGCAAGGGGCAAGAACGACCCCAGCCACCTGAAGCAGAGCTTGGGCTCCCTGAGCCCCAGGTGGAGGGTGTCCAACCCTGCACCTATGGGTTCATCACCGCCACCTTTCACCCGAGGCTCTACCTTCCTTCATGACCCAGCAGAAGGAAGAGTAATAATTATTAATTACAATAAGTCGTATTATAATTATTATTATAATAATATAATTATTAATATAATTATAATAATACAGAGTAACTAGGGCCGGGCGAGGAACAAACTATCTGACAATTTACATACACAGTAACATAATAACATACATAACATAATTAACATACACAAAAAACAGCTGCTTGCCATAAGTCCCTTTGTACGCTAAATAAAATGTTCTATAGTATTAAACATGGCATATTGTGGAATATAATGTTTACTACATGAATAATTCAAATACAGTGGTACCTTCATTTACGATCGTAATCCATTCCCAGAGACTCGACGTCAACTAAAAATTCGGCAACAAAACAAATTTTGCCATAAGAAATAATGTAAGTTTAATTAATCCGTTATACCCCCCCCCCCCCCCAATAAAAACAGCGTTGAATGTAATGAAACGCCATTTTCTGGGTGATACCCGGAGGCTCCCCGGAGCTTACTAGGCTGATATGCTAATGTCAGACTTTGGCATCAGTCATGTGTATGGAGTTCTGTGGGTCTACTGAGGACCACGAGCCAGAACCTGGCCCCCTCAGAGAGGCAAGGGGAGCAATGGCCTATAGAAACCCCCGTGTGGTTGGAAGCATTCTATGTCTGCCATCGACCGGGTCAGGCACCTAGAAAGGTAAGCATCCCAAAACAAACCCCTATTCTGGTGAAATTATTGCTACCAAAAGCCGAACAAGTGGATAGAACTCCCCACAAAGAAACGAACAAACGATCATGACGTCACACGTCGCCGCGCCGCTGTTACACAGCTCCCCCGTCCCCGCGAGGGGGAAGGGGGGAGCCCCAGACCCCTCACGCCGGCTATCGACCCATCAGTTCTGAGGCTGGATGTCAAAACACACGAAAAAAACGCCGACCCGGGGAAGGGAGGGATGCCGGGCAGCCTCCGGGTCTCACCCAGAAAATGGCGTTTTATTACATTCAACGCTGGTTTTCTGGGGGGACCCCCTTCGGCTCCCTGGAGCTAACTACCCACAGAGGAAGAACGTAAGGACTTACCCGGGAGGCGGTCGTTGCTCACTACACAACTCGAAGTCGAGACAACTTGCTGCAACCGCCGACCTAAATGACACAGGCCTGACTAGGCCTAGGGACGTGCACGAGGTAACGAGCAGCCAGGACCCTGTACGGCCGCCAGAAGCCCCGTGCCCAAATGCCAGCCCAGGACATGGTGCCCAAGACGGCAGCAAGCACAGTGAACGTACAAACGTCATGGGCATGGGGATAGACCGCAGGCTAGCTAGTCGTAAGAACTCTGCGGACGACCTGGGAGACCCACACCCGCGAACAGGGAAGAAAGGGAAACCGGATCAACCCAAAGCGTGTCCCCAGACACAGAGGCCGAGGCGCGCAAGTAACGGCAAAGAGCCACCACCGAACACAAAACATGATGCACCCCCGGCCCAACCAATGAAGCATCAACAACCCAGGGACCCCTCCAGAAAGCAGCAGTTTCAATCTTCACCAGAAAAGAAGGAGACAGCTGCAGACGAACAAAACCATCATGAAGACTGAAAGAGCAGAAACCCCTGCGCCGGAGGAGAGCATGAAGCTACCCAACCCGACAGCCAGAGGTCACTGCTAACAGATAAGGAGCCTTATAGAACAATCCTGAACTGAAGGGGCCACAACAAACTGAGGAGAAGAAAGAAAATAGCACTCTGTCCAATGACCAGGACGGCTCAGGCTGCGCAAGAGCAGGAGCAGGCCGGAGGTGAAACAATGCATGAGACAGCTTGCGAAACGGCACAG